ATTTTATATATAGTTATCTATTTTAATACTCGAATGTTTACGTATTATTGTACTGTATGTGCTGCCAGAAGACCCCCATGACTTTGCGTTGCTTTTGGGCCATCCGGCCAGTCAGCCATACGTTTTTTTATTGTTTTCACTGGTGAAATAAATGATATATGATTTTATAAGAATACCAAGACTGAAATTGCATAAAAAAAAGAACAAAATAATTACAAATTGAGGCTGAGCTAAAATTTAAAATGAGGTTTTATGTTTTTTTAAATAATGCAGTACAGTAATGCTGTAAAATAATAAAGTATAGTGTGTCAAATACAACAAAATAAGAACATTTTGAGCCTGAAATCAGAAAAATAATAAGAACACTGAGCCTGGGCAAAACTTTACTGGTTCTTGTAAAAAAAAAAGTGTACTGGTACTATGTTAATAATATACTGTAACAAGACATCTAGAGCTGGGTCTTGATTCCTTATTGAAGTACACATCTTTGATGATAGGCCCAGGTGAGAAGAATGCAGAGGATGTAGCCATGTTAATGTAACACAGCGTGAGGTATACATCCACGGTGCTACTGTACTTTGGTCTAATGCACAGAGATGAGTACTAGGGACATTTTATGGTAGGGTATACATTCTATTACAGGGACAGGGTATGAACATTTGGCAATTAACCACTGAAGGATGTAACAATGATGACATTGGTATTTCAAAAGTAGGAACAGAGTATGGACATTTGGCAATTAACCACTAATGGATGTAACAATGATAAAATTGGTATTTAAAAAATACGTCATAGGTAGTGTGTGTTATTATGTATATAATTTTTCAAATCAAGTTGGTGCATAGCACTGTAAACACAATATAAAAATATAGGTAAATAACAAATGATGGTGCATAGGTCAATTCTTTGACACAATTGCGATACAACATGCTCCTATTTGAGCACTGTTGTTGTTATTATTTATCTATTTGTTTGTATATCTGTATATAGGTGGTGCAGTGGTCTCCATTGTGCTTCATGACCATATATGTTATTTTTGGCTGACCAAGTTTGAATCCCAAAACTTGCAATGATAACAGGCTGTGAATTTGTTCACACAATGCTTCAGCCCTAGTTTTAAGTATTTCATGACATATGAGTACAATTAGGAAGAAAAATTTATGGGGTGATTTCATATTTTGAATTTCATGTTTTGAATTATTGAAAACAATTGATAAAGTGTTACTATATTGCAACAAGTCAGATGCCAATTTAAACACTAATCTCTACACTATTTATAAGTGCCACTCATAAATAAGGGCCTATCCCGAATAAGCTCCATACTGAGGCCGCCGATAATTACATAAGCGCTGCAGCATTATTATTTATGATAATGATCATGATGCTCACCCAATGCCCGCTCTATTTTCCCGAGGACTTGGTTGTTTGGAATTGCTCGGCCTGCTTCGTAGTCATTGATGACCTGCGGCTTTTCATTAATTTTCTACAAAAAAAAATGAAGTACCACAAGTGAAAAAATGTAATAAAATATCTCATCTAAAATTTGCCTTAGTAGACATATACAGAAGTAATAAAATACAGAGAAAATAACTTACAGTTGCTAGCTCTTTCTGAGTTAGTTTCTTCTCTGCTCTCCCTTGACTGATTAATTTTCCAACCTCAAGAGGCACACGTTCATCTGAAATGAAATTAAAGAATCTAAGCTAAAAAAATTGAATATATATATATATATATATATATATATTTATATAGATATATATATATATATATATAATTATTAACTAGAAAGAAATGTAAGCATATATATATATATATATATATATAAATACTGTATAATACTTACGATGCAATTCCTCACTTTCTCTGTCTAGTTTAGCAACATTTTTGGTGATAACATGCTGCTTATTTGATGCGGCAGTGACTGGGGAGACAAAACATTCAGATATTCAATAAATGAAATAAACAAAACACTGCATTATTTGATCACTGATCAAATGGCCAGGTTAACAGCCTCACATAAGAAATTATTTACTCATATCGTCGCTCACATCATGAATAAACACAATGTTGTTTTCACGATTCATTACTTTGTGTTAGTTTGTGATGTGACAACATTTGGGCCTTTAAAGAGCCAATAAAACACTTAAATGTTTTGAATGTTTCATCCTACAATTTTATAATACAAAGTGAATTATATATTATTGTCTTTTTTACAGTTCCAAATTGTGGATGCCCTAAGTTGTTAAATCAATTAAGATATAGTAAATTCAAACATTTTTTATTTGTCTCCACATGATGTCCACTTCTGAAAGCAGCATTCACAGCCTATGGGGTGAGAAAAAAAAAATATATTACTAATTAATAAAAATATAACAACATTGACATACTAAAATCCCACACATCTGTTCCTTTCAAAAAAAAAATGAGAACAGAATCTCAACCTCCAACGGGATTCGAACTAGGGACATATTACTTACAAAGTGAACATCATAACCAACTAGACCACAATTGAATTTTTAGTTATGTGCGATTTGGTAGCCATTGAGAGATAAGGTAAAGTAGTCCCTACTCATTATTGAATGTAGGGGAATAAGCTGTTAGACCATCATACTAAGCCTCGGTGGTAGGGTGGGTGGTTTCCATTACACACCGCTTTTTATTTTCTTCCCAGTATTGAACCCCGGGGTACCCATTTACACTCCTGGGTGGAGAGAGACAAATGTAGGTAAAAAGCCTTGTCCAAGAACACAAGCGAAATGCACAATGAAATTTCAACCAATTGAGAGCCTTCAATTATTATTCCTTGGAGCATGACAAACAATTCAGATCCATTGATCAGTTTTTAAGATATTTAGGTCTAGGACATTCCATCGCAAGGGTCTCCAAATGCACACCTTACTCTGGAAGGTCATTAAATTTCCATATTTTTTTTCCTTGGTCATTTACAAACCATTCCAGAAAGGTTTTTAGATATTGTTTTTTGAAAGTTATAAACATTGCGTATAAATGCTAAATTGTGTTAACATTGAAGCTTTGCACTGTTTACTAGCCATGCATTAACATTACAAATCTGAAAACTTATGTATACTTTTGCCTAAATGATATTTGAAAATTTAGAAAATGCATATTGGGCCTTTAAATTATTTAATAGCAAATACAAGGGTTAAGATCATCATTATACCATACCCCAAGAGTGAAAATAAAAATGGATCAGAGGGCCAAACCGAACTTTCATTCAGAAGGGCCGCAAGCAAATTTTTTTTTAAATGAAAATTTGATGTTTCTGACATGCTTCACAAAACTCATACAGTACTAAATTTATTTTACTATTTTATGCGCAGTTTTACTATTACTGAATTTCTTAAGTTAAGTTACACAAAGTTGTTATACTGTATAGACTGTGGTTTTTACATAGTTTTTACTTAATTTACAAGTCTTTTACTTTACACTACCATAATTTTATTAGGTCTACACTGGCAACTGGTACAAAAACAATACCATAAATTAAATTTTTATTGCTGTTGTTGTTTTGAAATTTGCAGTAATTGTGCTTCTTTACTATGATTAGGGCTAGAGGCCTGGGCTTTGCGATTTTGGTATTTGGCTGCCATTTCTGTTTTCAACTGCTTTATTGCCATTTTGACCAGAAATCCCCTTTTGCACACATCACTATACTACTGACCATTACATTCCAGTTTGGTAGAGACTATTCATCGGACAGCATTTCAGTGGTGTATCTAGAAGTATTGAAATGGGGGGGGGGGGTGTGCGATGGTAAGTTGGGAGGCTTGAAGATTAGGTATCTAAGGAGAGTTACTGGCAAAATGTTTGTGGTATGTTGTTATTTTTAACTACTTCAGTGTAATTTTCCAGCTCAGCAAATTTCCAGTGAGATGGGATGGTGGGTGTTAGTTAGGTGATCACCTCCCAAGCCCCACTCCCATAGACATGTCATACCTTGGTTGACTTTGATTCTGATGCTCTTGGAGTTTTCTTCCTTAAATAAGTTACTTCTTCAAAACCTGCTTCAGCCATTTCTTTTTCTTATATTCTAGAAATGAAATGAGAGGTCTATGTGAAAATTAAGATCATAGTTAAAAATGTTAAGTCACACTTACTTGCCAGTTAAAATGTCATTTATACCTCTTTTAGCAAAGACCAACCACATCCACAACTAAAAATCAACTGACTTCTCGGCTATAACAAAAGATTTCCTAAGCAATGCTAGATTAAAATCGTTGGCAGGCTAGAGATTGTCGGAAGTCAGGGAGACCTATGTCATCTGTATGACTGCATGTCCCCTATAGTCGTAGATGTACTGAGGTGAATTTTGGTTCCAATGATGTCCCTTTCAAAGGTAATACAGTACTACGTAAAACATTATTTCTTAGAAAGATACTTTAAGCACAGTAAGCAGGTAAAGATTTCCTATTTCAATACAACCCTGCTGATCCCCTGTAAAATATTATCCATCCTCTTTACCTTTTACACAATGACTAGCAGTAATAATGCAACAATATGCAGTTGTTAGAGGTAAGTCAAGATAGGTTAAAAATTTAAGCCCCTATTGGATCCCCTTGAATAAATAGCAATTAGAATAGTTGCGTATATTACACTAGTGGAAATATAATTATACAAAGTTTAGATTAATGGAACTAAAAAAATCTTGAGAGCCTGCAAGGCCCAAAGTGCATTAATCTAACAATAAGTATAATAAATTTCCCCAAGTGTATGCACTATTTTAATTGCTTTGTAAGTCAATCGCTGTGTTTTAATCAAACTGTTGTTGTAGTCAACGGTTGCTATAGTAATGTGATCAGTACATCTGTACGCATATTACTTTTAGCTTTGCGTGCGGATTGTTGCTGCAGTAGTACATGCTATTTGATTGTGTTTGAAGAACTTGTCTTGAGCTTACTATTTTGATGAGATATTTGTCAAAGGAATAAAAATTTATTCAAGCATCTGAGAGGATAGCGTACAGTACTTTAATCACATTTTGGTTGGTGCAGATAGGTAAAATCGTGTGATGAAACGATTCAGGCCAGACTAGGCTAGGCCTGGGTATACTGCCTACACCTAAATCTTTGCATCTTTGTATAGATAGGCCTAAAATATTCATATTTAATGTTCAGCTTCTTTAGTTTATTAGAGTCCACTGATTCAAGGAATTTCTTAATATTGAATTTGAAATTACTTTCTTCGGGTTCTAATAATACACCTTGTTTATGAATGTCATTTTTTCAATTACCACTTGTCAACAAACTACGATTCGGTGGGTGTCTGCTTTTTTTTTTTTAAACATAACACTGACATGACTAGGCTTGGCTAGTAATAATATTTCATACACTTAAATTCCTGATTAAAAATCTATCTATCTATTTCATGGATTTTAAACATCGTGGGCGAAACAATGACATTCGTCATGATGAGGGGATGGTTTTGACTTTGGTTCTCAGTGGCCTACACTCACTGATTAGTGCCTAGGCCTAGCACTTAGTCTTCCTAGATCACTAAATTGACACTACTAAATGATCCACTAATACACTCTACAAGTCAAAATAGAAGGCTTCCACATTTTAATTACATTACAACATTTATGATTCAGTAGTTTCTACTAAACAGAGGTAACTTCATGTTTCAGTCTTATTTCAACCCTCGCTCGCGACATTTTTGACTTGGAAAATATCAGTGACCTTTCATTTCATTGTGCATATGTAGTAGTAGCGTGTCAGACTTCTAACGCTGGAGGTTGGGTTCTGGTGTCGGATTAATAACCATGGTGTAAAAGTAATGTTGGCAGGCAGAATGCATGGTTGAGGCAGGATGCCAGTCAATTCTAGCGGATGTCAGTTCGAGCGGATGCCAGTTCGAGCGGATGCATTTAGTGCGAACTACAACAAGGGCGAATTTATCGTCTTGGCAAGTCCGATTAAAAGATGGCCGCTAGAAAGCACTTAGGCCCTATATTTTAAAACTATAGAATTTTTGTCTCCAGTTAGTTGAATTATATAGTGTTGTAACAGTATTTGTTGATTTACGATTTAGGCCTATATTTGTAAATGGGAGTAACTGTAATTGTAATTTTTATTCACCATAGAAATTTAAATTATTTTTACGTATATGGTATCAGAAGGTGTACAAACCTTTGGTGTAGTAGTGTGACACAGAGGCGGATCCAGTGTAGGGGACACGAGGAAGCACGTGCACCTCATCTTGCCACTAAGATTTCAATGCATATTAATGTTATGTGCTACTCACTTATCTATTCTGAAACTGTTGTGCCCCCATCCCGCCGTTTGAAAAATTCTGGATCCTTCAGGCCTGTGAGAAGACTATCAACAGCACAGTAATAGACATCATACCAATTTTCTCCACTATTCAACCATTCGTCTATGTAGTTCAAAACCCACTTTTTTTTTAAATTTATCATGTGGAAAGAATAACAATGACTTAACATTATTTTTATGAACGTAGGTATGTTTAATTGTAAATCGTTAACCTTATAAATCAATTAAATACTTTTTTTTATACATAAGGCTTTTTTCCTGGCTCCAGTGTCGTATCTACTGTAGAAGTCCTGAAATGGGGGTGCTGATTGGGGGCGCGAAGGTGAGTAGTGGGGGGGCTCGATGATCAGTTGAGGGCTCAATGATCAGTTGAGGGATGCTAACTCTCAAAATAAGGTGATTTTAGGTGATTTTTAACTACTTGCAATTGAATTGGGGGGGGGGGGGGGGGAAACGACTGATTTTTGGAGGGCATCCCCCCCCCAACGCACCCCTAGATACACCAGTGCCTGGCCCCCAGGCAAACCTGAGCCCAGGCCGAATGCAAATTGTTAGCTCAAAATAGGAAATTTTAAAGTAATTCGTACATAACTCGCACAGGCTGTTGTTCGCAAAAGTAAATTTTTTCTCCGCTCGAACTAGCATCCGCTCGAATAGATTCTGCTTGAAACCGCTCAAACTGGCATTCGCTCGAAGTGGGATCCGCTCGCATTGACAGGTTCCCATTGAGGCACATGCAGGGCAGGGGAAGGGCCTAGCCTACCTCCTGCTGTAAGTTACCAACTAGGACTAGGTAGAGGTCTCAGCCTACCTAGGCCTAGTCCTATAATAACCAAACCTAGGCCCTACACGCCTAGCTTGACTAGGCCTAGTAGGGCCTATCATCCTAGCTAGGCATCTGCCATACATATGCTAGCCTAGACTTTTTGCTTGGCCTTGTACGAAGAGAGAGGATAGAGAGACCTGTTTCAAAATCGCTAAACTAGGCCTATATATTAATATTGATTGGTTAAGAAAGTTCAGATTGAATTGTAACTACAAAATTAATTAACATTCATTACCACCCGAATTCCTGATGCAATTTCCGCAGTACTAATGCAACAACACAAAATTCTCTCAATATAGTGACCTAGCTAAGCCATAGGTCATGGACATGCTCTGTTGATCATTGGTCTGGTTGGTTCATGCTCCATGCTCGGGTCATCAAAATGCTGCAACAAAACACCACATACGTATTACGTACATGTGGTTAAAACAACAAAACAAAACTTATTTTGTTTTATCCGGTTTGTGTACACGACTTATGAGTGTTTGCCAATACAGTACTTGCAATATTCGCAGAGGCAGACTGGGCTAGTCTAAGACTGCAGTGCTACATGGTTTTTGCTGTCGAATCAAAGAAATCTAGCCTAGTCTAACTAGGCTAGGCCTATCCTACTACTCTAGGCCCTATCTAGACTAGTCTAGGCGAGGCCTTGTCGAAGTATCATAGGCCTACGCTAGGCTACTATTAGTAGGCGCTTCTCAGTCACTTAAACCAAAACCTGACCACCTCTACTACTGCACTGCCAGGCCTGACAAGCTAGCTAGACTAGGTAGGCCTAGGAAAAGGGCGGCCTTTGCTCGGGTGATATTTTTTAATGACGTGATAAGAAAAGGCGACGTCTTGCTGAGGCCTAATTTATGCTGCTTTACTATCATAATTTTCTATGACAGAGATTCAATCACATTACAGTTACTACTATAAAGTCCAAGACGATGAGCTTTAGAAAATTGCACGGCTTGTTTGCTGCTCATAAACCAGCTGATTTGTCATGCTATCATTTGATTGGAACCCTTAAGACAAATTTGCTAAAAGGTGTGTACTGTAATTTATTGATGTTCTACTTGTGGTATTAAGACTGAGTTTAGCTTAGTAGTGTAGGCCGAGGCAGTTGAATCACCTTTTCGTACCAAATGCATTATTTGAGTTTCTTTTATAGTTGGACTGTTCCAAATGGAGATGGAATTTTAAAATTACCAACAGAACAATGATCATATTAACCAAAGACCAACCATTTAATCTACTGTATATTGTTTTTCATTAAAATAATCATTCCTTTCTATAATTGCCATGCTAGAAAGGGTGTAATAAAAGACAAAGAATGATGCAATTTATTCTAACTTAATTGAAATCAATTAACATAATACAGTAAGATGAATAAAAACAAATATTTAACATTTTGAAAAGTATTTAGAACTTCCAACATCAAATTTGGATTGGTTTAAATCATTATCTTATAACCATCCTTATTCTTTCTAAATAGAAAACTACAATTACATAAATTCATTTATAAATATGCATTGAATAATAAGTCATGACTGTAATAAATAAACTTTGTACAGTAATACAAATAGCCACAGCTAATTGAAAATTATTTGAATAGATAATAAGCTTTTTTTTTGTGATTTTTCAGATTTAAATGCAAGTTCAAAGTTATATCTTCCCAAGTTAGTGAAGGTGTCAGCAGCAGGGAAGGATACGGATGATAAACAGTTATGGAAAGTGGAGGAAAAGGAAGACTTGCGATATCATCCTCTAGTTGCAGGCCCGTATTTTAACATGCTAAATATTCAAATTGTGTCTGGTGGTTTGGATACGAAATCCTCAGGTGTTTTAGGTAAAATTAAATTCAATCTTGTGTTTTTTTTTGTTGCTTAAACTCATCTAGCAGCCCAGAGTTGAATTATTAACAGGATTGTATACATTTCATAACCCAGACTTTTTTGTAATTCTGTCACAGACATTCTGTACTCCTGATGATGACGTAATTAATGTCGAAATATCGAATACCGACACGATGGCGTGCATTTCAATACTTGGAGTATGTATTATGCTATCTTACATTCTGTACCCTGCAATGTCTTGGTTATGAAATGTCATCGGCAGAGTTACAAGATGTCTGGGTTACAAAATGTGCCACTTGTGTTAACAAAATATAAACATGGTTAAACTAATAAAATTGATATAAGAGCAAAAAAATATTTTAAACTTCAAATAATTAAAGTTTCATTCGTAAATGATAAGTAAATGGTATGTTTAAAAAAATTGATGGATTGTGGACAAGTTGCTGGGATTAGTCAGTAGTTTAAACAGTTATGCCATATACAGGTGCAGTGTACTCTATCGTTGTACCTTTTGTGATTAGGCCCGCCTAGCTTGTACTGCCCCTGTATGGCATAGTAGCTCTTGTGGTCACAAACCCCTCAGGATGTAAATCCCCTTCTTGAGATTTAGACGGGTTTCCCTGATACCACATGATTTTATTCATTTTTATATTCATGTCTTTCTACTATTTTTTATTGTTTGTTTCATGTATGGTATTGAAATAAATAAAATCAAAATCAGACCAAAGAAGACATATGGCATACATACTGTATGTAGATAATAATGAAAGAGTTGCGACTAAGGTAATAAATTTACAGAAATGATCTTTACAACTTGATAATGCGGTAGTGTCATCAGCATATTAAAGGAAAAGATGTGATCTTTTCTTGTCTGTATTTTGTCAATGTTCTGATTGGCTGGCCCATCACAAAATTTTTTGTTAAATCATCTTGGGCAATTGCCTTCTTCCTTTGCTTTTTATGATTTATTTACTCAAGAAAAAACTTTTTTGCATCCTTTGTATTGTAAGAATTAAGTTTAACTCAAAGGAAGAAAATATTTATGATTCAGTAAATGATCGCCTTAATAGTTAATTATTCTTTTATGTGCAATTAATTATATTTACATTATTAATTTTTTTACAGTATTAAGTGTAGGCAAAGCATCTAAGTACATCTCTGCTTACCAGAAGGCTCTGTTACCAAGACAGTACCACATTGATATCCAACTTGGCATAGCAACTGATAATTATGAGCCAGGTGGTAAAGTTATTCTGAAGTCCACATATCGTAAGTATAGAAGAAATACAGGTATAAGAACAAGAGTGTATTGTATAAAAGAAAACATGAGGCACAATAGTGAGGCAGTGACGTATCTAGAAGTCGAGAAGTAGGGGTGCTAATGTGGGGCGAAGGTGAAGTGGGGGCTCAATTATCAGTTGAGGGGCGCTAACTTGCAAAGTAAGGTGATTTTATGTGCTTTTAACAACTTGATCTTGATTTTGTGGGCAGCATGAGTAATTTTGGAGGGGGTTAGATATGTCACTGTAGTGAGGATGTGGGCTTCAGGGCCCAAGTCTCCCAGAAGTTGGGGAGTCACCCAGAAATCATGATGGCCTCTCGTCCTCTGACAAGCAAGCAAGAATCTCCTGTAAGATAACCCGTCTCCCGCAAATTAATAATATTGGCATGTTTTTAATAATTTATTACCAATCGTCTCATGAAAGTCAGTGCTAATGGATATCACCATGCACAACAAAATAAAATTAGAAATCTTAATCACATCTTCCAGCATGGGACCCCTGAGTTGATTGTGGTGAAATTGTTATTGTCCCCTGCAAGACACTTTTTGAGTGCTCTTCTCTGATAATGTGTGAATGATTTCTCAAGCAGAATTTGGAATTTACTCTTCAGAAAGTGAAAGAGTGTGCACAGGTGAGTTGAGTAGTTGGGCACTCGTTGGGCAGTGTGGTAGGGACACCACTACTTGCAGCCTTATTCCACTCATCACTTGGTGTTCCTGTCTCTAGACCAAGTCTTTGGATAAGGTCTTGTATATTCATAGTTAATTACATTTTCAATATTCTTTTGTAGATCATATTTCAAGAGAGAAGTTTGATAGAGTTGTTGCTGGACTTACAAAGGCATCCAAACAGTACAATACAAAGTGAGTAAAAGTTTAAAATGAAGAAAATGTACGGCAATAATTACTCTGTTGTTTATAATATACTCTTTGTCTTTTTTTGCTGTCTAAAAAAAGTTCCCATGTATTTAATGAATTTACGAAAGTTGTCATGAGAGTCCACATAGAGTATTAAGTGTTAAGAAGGGCCCTGCTGGGTCCTTTTCGACTAGAGAACCTGAGCTTGACCCCTGAGAGCCCATAGGCATTACGCCACTGATTGGACTCGTCATTGGGCCATTAAGAAGTGCAACCAACCCAAATGGTGAGGCAGAGAGTATATTTTTTATTGAGGAGGAGTCCAGAATACTTTTAATTGAAGAAGCTTTAATAAATGTGATACCTTACCAAATGGTTACCTAGTAAGTAACATGCTTTCTGCATTGATTATATTTGACATACTGTTGCAAAATTATGAATACTCTCCAGGCAATCAAAGAAGATTGCATGCTCTGCATGTTTGCCAAATTATGGCTCTAGTGACCAGGGGTAATAATGTTCCAAGCTGTTTGATGATACTTCTTTTGTCAAAAAAGTGCTATTATTATTTATTTTTTTTAAAATACAGTATAATTAGTATTCTTCCTTTCACGTCAGACTTCTGTTATTCTTCAGTTATAGTGGTTTAGACATGCAGTCCCAAGAGGCATATGATCTAGCAGTTGCTGGTAAGCTAGAGACAGTTACACTGTTTAACCAGCCCTCTATTTTGTCAGCACGGTGTTTGAATTTCAACCCACCTCATATTAAATTAGGTAGGTTAAAGACAGGAATGCACTTTCAAATTCTTGTTAGACTTTACAGTGTTTGATCAGACATTATCTAATGAGTAAGAGTATTAAGCTTTGTCCATATTATCAAGTTTTCTCTGACAAAATATTGTTTAATGCCCATATATGTTCAAGATGTGCCTATGTATGATCATGATGTACTGTCGTCATAACCATATTTAAGGCATGATCAGATTATATGGTTTGGTCTATTATAATATCTTTGTTTATTGATCACCTGTGCAGGTGTTTTTAACACGGTCTTTTTAATGTTTAAGAATTGTCCAAGGTGCAATAAGCTGATATTTTTAACCTGGCATTGCTTAGGTTCCTAGGCAAAGTTCTACACTTTGAGGGTTAAAAATGCGTACCTGATTGGATGTGAATGAATCGGATTTAAAAGTCAATGCTAAATCAGCAAGGAGCATAATATGAGTTGCGCATTGTTGATTCTGCGTCTAATGACCATGGTAAAATAAGCACGTAGGCCTACTTTTAGTGTTGATGTACAGTATATCTCAATTTTAGTAATTATTTAATTTTTCTTCAAAATCTTTACCTATAATTGTGTTAATAGACATTAACTGTTTATATTTTTACTTTCATAGAAATGGAATGTCTGAATGAAGATAGTGAATTCCTTCGGGAAACTGTAGATTTCCTTGGTAGATCACTAAGATCATCTGCTGTAGCATTTCGAATAAACAGGATAAAAGATGGACCATTCACTAGTAACAATTCATTACTACGAAGACAGTGGACTTTGTTCAACGTTGCACAATCTCTTCAAGAAAGCAAAGAGATAATAAAACCATTCATTAAAAACAATAAAACTGTTCTGGATAACTTACATGAGGAAGAAATAGCTACAACATGACTTGGAAATTCCCTCCTTGCAACCTGACAACAGACTTTCTGAATGATTAATTATTTTGAAACCATGACAGTTTGTTGGTTAATGTATTTGTCTGCTGCATTCAGTACGAAGTTGTACACTTTTATTTAACGGTATACAGTTGGGTATGAAGGCACACTTCTATTTAATAGTATACAGTACGATATGAAGTTGTACAGTTCTATTTAATGGTATTCACTATGGTATGAAGTTGTACACTTCTATTTAACGGTATACAGTACAGTATGAAGTTGTATACTTCTATTTAACGGTATACAGTACAGTATGAAGTTGTACACATCTATTTAATGGTATACAGTACAGTATGAAGTTGTATACTTCTATTTAATGGTATACAGTACAGTATGAAGTTGTACACTTCTATTTAATGGCATACAGTACAGTATGAAGTTGTACACTTCTATTTAATGGTATACAGTACAGTATGAAGTTGTACACATCTATTTAATGGTATACAGTACAGTATGAAGTTGTACACATCTATTTAATGGTATACAGTACAGTATGAAGTTGTACACATCTATTTAATGGTATACAGTACAGTATGAAGTTGTACACATCTATTTAATGGTATACAGTACAGTATGAAGTTGTACACATCTATTTAATGGTATACAGTACAGTATGAAGTTGTACACATCTATTTAATGGTATACAGTACAGTATGAAGTTGTACACATCTATTTAATGGTATACAGTACAGTATGAAGTTGTACACATCTATTTAATTATGAAGTTGTACACTTCTATTCTATTTAATGCAGGTGTGAATCCAGACGTTTGCATATTTGTTTTTTAAATATAAAGTGATTGCAGTGCCTGGTGGTCTGGCAAATTCCAACTATTTCTGTCAGGAATGCCACCTACCTTTACCAAAGACAAAATAAATGCAATAGTTTTTGCATTGTCTAAGTAATAATTAAAAAGGGACTAATTAAATCGGCTGTGCGATGTATTGTTTTTTTTTTATTATTTTGATTTATGTCACAATGTAGGGTTAATCAAAAATCAGTCACAGGGAGGATATATGTGTTGATTCTTACAACCTTATTGAAAGGCATATATCATTTTATTATCTTTTGTTATATCAAAATCACACAGAAGCGAAAAGCTATTATTTTAATTAGGCCTATTATTAATTATTATTATTAATTATTATTATTATTTTAACATGCTATGAACAAAACAAGTCTTTAATAGAATTGGTAGCGTCCCTAATTGTGGACCTAAACCTTGATGCTAACAAACACATGTTGATACATCTAAAGAGGAAGTCAAAAATGAGCACTGAGACTGCAAATGAATACGGAATTGGAAGAACAGCAACGGCAGGAATGGAACTGAATTTGAAATCAGCGTTGGAAGTGGAAAAAGAATTAATGAGAAATTAATAAGCATATAACACTTTAATAATTGTCAAGTAAAATGTTAAGTTTGAGGCCTGTATATCCAGTGGGTGGGGTGGTGCGATGGTTGCGTAGGCACCCAACCAAACTTTATAAGGTCCACATTTCCATGACAGTCGAGAATGTACTGAATATTTGATTTTCTGTGATTTAAAAATAAAATCTTAAATTTTTACATTTTAACCAATAATCTACTCTGTCGTATTAGTATTAGTATTTAGATACGCTATTCATAGAAAACTATATCATAGCGTTTACAGAGTTGAATAATTCAAAAACGCAATTTATCCTTTTTCAAGATCTTGACTTTTGGGGCACCCTGTATATGTAATCTATCATGGGAAGTGATCATATACTCCCAAAATTTTTTAGGAATATGAAGTTATTATGGGAGTTACGCATTATGTCCATCAGCCAAAGTATTATATCCACTAATCATTGAAAGTTGGCAATCAACCAATCACAGAAGACAATTATATATATATATATATATATATTTAAATTACTTTTCCAGTTGGTGGAGGCACAAAAATTCCACGTTTGGTTTTGATCGTAGTACAATTATTTAAAGAATTGCATTGTTCTTTTTCCTTTTGAATAAGTTACAACTGTGGACATATATGATTTTCAGACCAAGATTATTACAGTAGGTTAAACTTTCCACGTCGGTTCGTCCATAAAACTTATTTCTTGGAAATTCTATCTAACGTGTGTATAATGATAGCCGTCGGAAGCATTTTTTTTGCAAGTGTTCCGGCCTTTATAAGAGCGCGATGGGGGAGAGTCATACCCACCTCAGTCCCACCATGGTTGGGCTGAGGCGCGAAAATTAGAGGAAATAGTACCTCTAGATATCAGAAAATGACACTATTAAATTCATCATCACATCACCATTATAGTCAAAATTAAGCGCCAACAAATTTCTCATGTACTTTTATCATCGATTTTCGGCAACCATCATGATCATTAGTATGTGTGATGAGACCATAGAAAATAAGATTTAAAAACACCGTCTTTGATGTATTCACTTTACTTTATCACTTCAAATATAAAATGTTGAGTCCACACCCATCTCAACCCTAGCATGGTTGGTGGTGAGGTGCGAAAATTGTGGGAAATAAATAGTAAATTTAATGAAATTATATAGTAAAATTCGTCATCATCACATCACCATTATAGTAAAAATGAAGCGCCAACAAATTTCTTATGATCTTTTATCATTGATTTTCCGTAACCAGGATATCTAATTAATATGCATGATGTACCATAGAAAATAAAACTTAAAAACATTGTCTTTTTCATGTATTTACTTTACTTTACTTACTTCAAAGCCGTTAGTCCACACCCACCTCAGCCTCATCATGGAATAATACCTCAAGATGGCCGCAATGACACTCTTATAAGTAAAATAAATCATCATCACATCACTATGATATCTGCAATTATCGGCAATGATAGAGATCTAATTAACTTCTATATTGTACCATAGAAAATAAAACTTTTGCTTTAATTTACCTACTTTCTGTGCCGAAAACCAATATTATACATTTTCTCATAGTTATCAAATTATAATAAAAGCACGCGCACTCGCATCGTGTATTACAGATAATTCAGATGTAAGTGGGCAGAGATACCGGAATCTAACTATAAGGATATGTACAGCACTCGACTTAGGCTATAAGTACAGCGCTCTTTCGTTAAAACCTGGGTCATTTTTATGCAGTTCATTGCAACAACTTTCAGGCATCTTCTTTGCTTATGAAATTACATTGTGATAGAAAAGTGAAAGGGACCAAAACCCCCTTAAAAATATGTGGGGGACGTGTTCCCCGTCTCCCCATGATCTGCGCCCTGGTAACCAGTACAGCCACTACCCGGTCCCCTCAAGGGGCCGACACAACACCATGGTTGAAAAAATGGCTCCTCTGCTGGGAAATAGCACATGCATACTTTACAGAATGAATGTCCCTCACTTTAAAGGGGTGATAAATTTAGATTGCAAGTAATTAGGGCCGGCTTGACCATTAATACCTTTGTGTCACATAACAGCCCATACTGATTCCATCGGAATCGTTTTTTTTAAAAAGTCGATTCTTGTACATAACAAAGTGTTCTGTTTAAAAGTTAAAGTGGTCTTCCTTAAGTTGTGGTCATGTTAAAATGTAATACTGTATGGTTATTCAACATAAAACATATCAACATTTCGGGTTAAACTTTCCACTTTGGTGCATGTTGACACTTCACATCAAAGGACCATTAATTATTCTTGTACAGGAGCCTGTCATGACCTAAGCTACGGTGCCTCTTCCTCCTCGTCGTCGTCGTCATAATTATTAATTGTCCATAGTAAAGTAGGGAAGGCTATAAATTCAGAGTGTATTCATTTATTAATAGACGTCTCATAAGTGCACGAAAGTTCATTTCCAAGCATCTAGAAAACAAAGCTTTTCGAAGGAGGTCCCTATGACTCCCCCTCCCTGCCCAGCCCATGTCTAAAATTTGTCTTTGGAACAAATTCTGCTCTCTTCTCGTGACCCGTCCACCCTGGAACCCATCTGTGCGATAGTCAGGGTAAACTCTCGATCCGCACCTGTAACAGTGTACAGGATGCTGTGCATACTGTAGCACGTACCAAATACATTTCCAAGCGCCATTTAAGGTTACAACAAATCAATCATGTTATAACAGACTGTTTAAGTGTTCAGAGCTGGAAGTATTGGAAGTGGATATTTATCCGGTCGAACATCTGTTCGGTTACATACATACATTATTGTAATGATTAATGAGGACACACTCCGAATCCTAACCTTAAAGATGGGCATAATCGAGCTGTAGCTGGCAAAATACACACTGATTAGTTGAAATGATATTATTATTTCTTTTATATAAACCCAACAATTTTTAAGATCCATCGATTAATGTCATCAAATGATTTTAATGTTTTATAGAATTTATCAAAATATCTTTGAGGTGTGATTTACTTTTTCTGTTCTCTAAATGGTATTTTGTTATGTACAGGGACAAAAGGAGTAAAATACAAATAAATATCCTAGACCATGGGTCTAAGAACGAATATACGAAGAAAAGAAAAATTTGCTGATGATAATAATTCATCTATTGGTGTGTAATGTTATATAATGTTGAATCAAAGCTTAAAGTACAACAATTGAATGTTTTTTTTAACATATTCTTAAGAATAACATAGTCAAGCACATAGTGTATGCAACTATATTAAAACTTAATATGTGATGAAGTAGCAATAAAGAATTTGTTTTTTTTTAAACATAGAATAGATTTAACTTCAGTTCAGTGTGTCCGGCTGTCATTGGATTTTAATTTGAACCATACAATTTTAATTAGAGGTGAACAATACAAATAATTAGCTACTCCTGTGATTTTTGTAAATTTGTAATGTAAAGACAATAAGTACAATAACAATCAATTCTAATCAAGCTAAATTTACAAAATTACAATACAATTTGATTCCTTAAATCCACCAACGTCCACAGCAACTTAATAGCAATGGCAAACAGCAGAAACAACAATAAAAATAATATTAATATTCTTTTAAGGAGACACCCTTAGGACTAAAAAAATGTCCCTTTAATAGGGATGTCCCCGGACAGGTGTACCCTGTTAAGGGGACACTAAGCAAAAACGCGAAATCTTTTCCTTAACAGGGGATTTGAAAGGTTTGTTATACTGTACAATGAGGACATAGATTCTTAAGTTGCAATTTAAATTAACCTAAATTGCAACAATAATTTTCAATACGTTTATGATGAAATCAAAAATAAATGTAATTAAAACAACGCAAGTTGTATTATTGTTCCAAAATTCAGTGCTATGTCAGATATAGCAGAATGAACAGAGCATTGGCTTAGCAACAAGGCGAGGGTTATGTTATGGATTTGAATTAATTCTATATCAAAGTATGCCTACACAGAAAAAAACCCCAATAAATCCCATGATTAAGAGTCAATTCTTATAGGAAAGTACGCAGAAAAAATATAAGTCCCATTAGTTTATACAAAGTAACACACACAGTGGACATATACCGATTTTAATGGTCAAAAAACAAATTTTTATTTTATCACTCACAAGTATTGTTATTTTGAATATTGTGTTGTAGTCATGCAATAAAAAATAATGAAAAGAAGTGTCCCATAGGTATTGTATTGATTTGACCATTTGGCACGCTCAGACAGTGTCCCCGTCCTTAAGAGGTGTCCCTAACTAGCGGTGGCGCCAGAAATTTGCCGACAAGGAGTCCGACGTTTCCAACGGAGGGGTCCGAACCAAGACGACGACGAAGCCTTAGCCGACGGCCCGGAATAAAAAAAAAATCCCCTTTTATGGTTCATGGGGAGAGTTTTTATGGCTTAAATTGGTCCTAAATGTGCTTTTAGACCACAATATTAGGGATTGACAATTAAAATAGCCTTATTTGGATAGGCAATTTTTTTTTTGGTCCGACGACCTAGTCGTTCTTCGGAAGACAGGGGGTCCAGGCCTGTCCGACGGGTTAACAAATGCCCACCCTGCCCCTTCCCCCGCTGTCCCCAGCAGGGTGTCCCCTTAATGGGTGTTGGTCATAGTATTAAAAGACATGTTTCATGGAAAAATGTCCCCTTAGGGGTGTCCCCTGAATTATAGGGGTGTCACGAAGGAGGGGGTTCTACTGTAGTGAGGTAGACCTATAGATTCAATATAACGATTTTACTAATCGGTTTATTTTAATAGTGTTCTGCGACTTTAAAACGGGTTTATTTTTAGAATCATCGTACAAAAAGGGATTTCCCGATACATTGAACGTTGAATTAACTGCGCGGTTGTACCAATACTTTGTATTAATCATAAATAATGATAATAACGCCAGAATATTGACCATAACGCAGGTTCATGATGTATTTTCATTTTTTAACTTATTGAAATTTAGAACCGTTCTTTCGACGTTTAGGCTGACACATTCTGATTTTCTTCAGATTACACGTATAGTTTTTGGAAATTCCCAGGAATATTCCATATTTATGTATTCTAAGTCATGTTCGTGATGTAATTATGTCCCGATACTTTTCCACCAATATTTTTCACTAAAATGATGATGAAGTATTTTGGTGGATGTATGTTGGATTGGGTTAAAATTTTAAATACAGTTATCACTAGTAGACTATTGGTTGCAAGTGTCTCATATCTCATTAATTGTACAAGCGATACCTAATAGACCCATGTCAAATAATAGACCGTTTCTACTACTATATTTAATTCTAGAATGCTACTGCTATTTTGTATTACCTGCCTGGTTGTCGTTTGACGCGTATATGTGTGTATCTTAAACCTTATTATATTCTCTCGACATGTTAAAGGAATGGATATATATTTGCGGTCCAATAGGCCTATTTCACCTTCTTTCATTTGTTGTAAGTAGGACATTAATGATAGGCATATTATATTAATACCGATTCCACAAAGGTCTGTTTTATTTGCCTTGAATGTATCTTTTTCCTTAGGCCTATCTTCTAAAAAATATATATTTTTTTACCTATACAAAACACCCAACCAGCTCTGCGTTGTTGTACCCTAAATACGGAGACCCACAATATTCGCTCTTCCCTAACATTAAAAACTTTCTTAAGGTCTAACTTAAGATTTTGCATTGCACTCAGTCTCAGAGGGTTTTATAATTTTACAAAATATTATTCATTTTTATTATCAACCCATGATTTCTGAAAATTAGTATTTTATTATTTAGGGCCTACAAAACTCAGTTGTACTTTATGCATATGTGTTTATAATTGATCATAAAAGATTTAAAACATTTTTAGCTACTAAATCAATTCTAACCTTGTCATATGACACCATTAAGTTTTAGCTTATGTGCATCTGTGAGCGTTGCATACTTAAGCCACCAATGTCTTATTGATGGGGCGGGGACAGCTAGAGTGCAATAGCTATAAAATTGTGTAGGCCTATATATAGGCCTATATACTTCAGCCTCAACATGATGGGTGTGAGTTGGTTTGAAAAAGTCCTTCCTCTGGGACCCTCTGTTTCAAATTCCTGGATCCGCCACTGCATGTAGCTGTAGCTATGCTAAGAGGTATGCATGGTCGATTAGTTCCTATATTCAGGCATTGTTATATTTATCCACTTGTAGTATTCATAGCATATTTATTGTTGATAGTAATAGCAGCAGCAGCAGTAGTAGTGGTAGTACTAATAAGTAGTAGTAGTAGTAGTGGTGGTAGCAGTAGCAGTAGTCGTGGTAAAGTCGATAGCCTTGCCTACTAGTCCTGTATTAGTAATAATGTAGTTGCTATAATCATGGAGTTATAAAATAATTATAACTCCATGCTATAATAGAGTTTAATTGTTTCAAATTAAAAAAGAAAATTGCAATAATTTCTCATTTGGTCGCAGAATTGCGTTAACTTGCAAGTAAATGGAAGTGAGGAATGTGGCGCCTTCAAACACGAACCTTATTTCATGGAACAGAATGGACAAATGCAAAAGTGTGTAAAATGTGCGTCTTGCCCTCCTGGTTATGGGGCTATACGCCGCTGCACACAGCACAATAATACAGGTAGGAGTTACTGTATTTCCGCTATGTATTTTCAGCCTCTGGAAATTCCGAGTTCATACTTGTAAATAATGCAGAGCGTCTACTGAAATTTATACATATACAAACATATACACATATATACATATACGTATATGTATATATATACGTATATATATGTATATATATACGTACATGTATGTATATATACGTATATGTATATATATATGTGTATATATACATATGTATATATATGTGTATATATATATGTATATATGTATATATATATGTATGTATATATGTTTATATATATGTATATATGTGTATATATGTGTGTGTATATATATGTATATATGCGTGTATATGTATATTTTTTGTGTACAGTATATGTATATATATATATATATATATATGTATATGTATGTATATATGTATGCGTGTATATATGTATACGTGTATGGTGTACATGTATATATATATGTATATATATACATGTATAAACACGACGAGGTACGTGCGCGCAATGGAGCGTTTAGTGGCTGCCATCGTCAATCAACACGCGGCGTCGCTTCTCACGACTAAATCTTCTCCCATTATTTCTGCACTGTGCAAATAGCAATTGAAATTTAGAAATATAAGACAAAATGACAAAATAAGCCTATATTTGGGTTTCGGTTGCAGAGATATTTTGTAAGGTAATATGTTGATAAGAACTAACGTTCCAGTACTAAACACTTACTATACTTTCAGTTTGCATGGCCTGTCCACCTGGTATGTATTCGAGTTGGCACAGCCCCTATGACGCGTGCCTACCGTGCAAAATTTGTAATGCACACCGTACTATTGTACGCGTCTGCAATAAGTCACAGGATCGTGTTTGCAGCACTTGTAATCAAGGTAGGACGAGCATTTAAAAATTATTTTTGTAATTTCTAAGTTTACAAATGGGATTATCCTGTGTGTCTATTAGTTTCCGTTATTATTCCAATACCAACTTAACAGAGCATTAGCTGCTTCTTTTTAATATTAACAAGTAGGCCTATATACTTAATGAATTGGGATGGAAATTAAATAAATATATTTACCATCTTATAGATGTATTTATTTATTACAGTTTATTTATTTCCAGTGGCGTATCTAGGGAGTGTACTGGAGGTGGGTGGGGGAGGGCAGTATAAAGAAGCTTGGACTTTTCCATCGAGCCCTTTCTCCGAACCACCTCAACAACCCCATCAGCCCGCTCATTTCTAGAATCCTGGATACACCATTGTTTAGTTCAAGCTTTTGTTTACACTTATACTTTGTATGGTTCAAAAGAGTATGGCCAAATTTTGACGTATCTAGAGAAGGTTGTTATCAAACCATGGACCTATTATTAATAGGTCCATGATCAAACCAGTTTCGTTAGGATTTTTGTCAGTTTCCACAATTATTCTATAATAAACATTTCTGCTAATGCTTGGATATTGTTGCTAAGGACCCTCGAAAATAAACGCAAACGTGAATAAAAAATGTTTTTGCATGGTATCTTGCGTAGCTGTGTATCCATGCAAGGACATATTAATATTTTAACAATCTTTATAGAGGTTGACCCTCCAGTTAGGCTGATATCCAGGGGCCCGTACAAGAAAATCAGGAACAACACAAAACATAAATAACAGACATTCATTGAAAATAAATAATTAACTTAGGTGTAGCATATAAATTTTAACACTACTTTTAAAAATACTAAATCGATTAATCGCAGCTGGATGGTATTAAGCTGACCTGACATATATCCTGGGTTAGTATTTTATATGCTTTGATGGTAAGTGGTTTTAACGCTTTGGGAAACATTCATAAGGTGAAGAGTAGATAGAAAAAAATTGAAAAAGTTTAACCTGTACAATGCACAATTTGGATTCTGTTAATGTTTAACAGGCTTTTGGTGCCCCATGATGCACCGTATTCGATGCGTGGTAAAATAAGTGAATCATACATGAGAAGTACAGTCTTACGGTCGATATTTTTTAATTCTTGCGAGTGCAATGATTTTAAGTTGTGAAGAGAGTTCAGGTGTGGAGTTTCCAAGTTAGCTTGTTGTCAATGTGCATTCGTAAATGCGTGCGTGGTGACTTAAAAATGACTTACTGGGGCCATCTCATCTGATAACATTGAACGTTTACAATTTCCACATAAACTGTGCACTAAGCCCATAATGTTTTTCGAGACAATCTCTCGAAAATTTCTTCTTTTTCCTTTTTTCCATGCCAAAGACGCACCCATGTGAGCTGAGCCCCCCTCTTTTCTCTAAAGTTTAAAATTTTCTTTAAAGTACAACACTGTACAGTATTTAATTAAGAATGAAATTTATGTTTTTCAATTTCATCCAAAAATTTTCAATTGCAATTTATAATTTTTATATTCTTAAAAATTACTCATCTACAGTCGCAACAATTTTATATATTTGTCTTCTCTCTTGGTCTGCAATGCTTTGTCTTCTCTTTCTTTTCCTCTTCAGGCCTCCTTCCTTTTTAATCTGTTTGGGCTGCCCCCACCCCCTTGTCATTTATTTTAAGAATGTTTTCCTAGGGAGTTTTCTAAATGTTTTCCATTTTATCAATTGTTGTAACTTGTTATGTTTATTGAATAAAAGTGATTTTTAATAATATTTGATACAGTAATGGTAAGTGTTTTGTTAAGAAATTTCATGTGAAAATAGTGCTAATTCCATGGATTAATTTTCCTTAAGCATAAAAGATTGTGTCGTCAGCGAATATGACAGTGGCAGAATGCTCAGGGAAAAGATAAAAAGGAGGCGGAAAAAAGTGGATACCAGATTGTAAAGAGATAGAAGAAAGAGAATTTTGAAAGTAAACTTGTTGAGAACGTTTATCAAGATGGGAAGTAAACCATTTTAGAGGAGCATTAGAAAAATCAGAAGACATTTTACAAAGTAGTTGATAATTAACCATATCGAAAGCCTTTTAAAGGTCAATGATAGTAAGGCCTGTCAAGTCAAGAGTCCATTATTAATGTTGTTGAGCCAAGAATCATATGAATTGATGAGTGTTGAGAATCCAGGGCGAAAACCAGACTTGTTAGTGTTGAGAATTGATGGTGAACAGTGTTTTCAATAACTTTTGAACAAATTGGAAGAATAGATTGAAAACATGAGTGAGATCGATGTATACGCCTACAGATGATTTAGTAGACCCATGTTTGTATGAATGTGATTTATACTTGATTTCTAGGATACTATGAAGACTTCTCTACTGGAACTTGTAAAGAGTGTGATTATTGTTATCACCATGACTTTACTCAGATTAGAAAGGCGGCGTGTCAATATGAGGGTGCCCCTGTTGATTTCTATTGCACACCATCATTGGATCCACCTTACAGAGCCCCGATGAAATGGCAACTTACAACAAAATCAGCAGATGAAGCGACAAGTCCGCAGTCGATCATCTCTACTTCTGAATGGTTATCTTGGAGCAGAATGTCAACGCTTACGGAGCAACCGACTAGTTTCCAAGAATCTCGAGTTTCTGCAAACGAAAATTTAATGAGAGAAAAGCTATCTACTACCACAGATACTACCATATCTACTGTCTCTTCTACCATTATCAATAGATTTTTACAGTGGACATACATTACAAGTAAGTTTTAATTAAAAGTGTATTGGCCTACTCTACTGTATTTTGAAACACCAAACCATGGAGCATATTGTGTAAAAATTGTTTTAAAGTGGAGAAAAAATTATTCTGAGGTAATGGTTGCCTCGCGTGTTTGAATTATTCGTAGAATTCTTTGACACATTTTACAATACTTCGATTAGAAAGGACTTTGATTGACACTCCGCAAAGATCCATTACCATGATTTATTCTTGGTACAAAAAATGTAATTTATAGATGCACTTACAATAGAGATAAAATTCAACATCATTAATAATGACCGACACTTAATCTTATGCAATTTGTACACTGCTTCATATTTTCTTACTTTTTTCTGCAGGCCACATCAGACCTACGATGCGTACTGGAGCCCTAGGACACACTTCGAATGTAGGAGTAGTTGGAAACACGGTGACTGCTGGAACCCCAGAGTACCGGTACACAAAATCTGCAGGAGTCCTCAAACACACGGCGATTGCAGGAGCGGCAGAGTCACAAGTAACTAATCACATCAAAACTACTTTCCAACTGGAATCAGTTAGTGATAGGCTATCAATAGAAATAGCGACTGTGATTGCCATAATATTATGCATATTTATTATCTTAACTGTTTTTATAGGCCAAATATTTAGACCTATTCGACGGAATAGATATTTTCATAAACTTTCTGATGAAGAAAATATATCTGTCTTATAATTTAAGTTTCGAACTCTTACTTAAAATTTATAGCATTACCGCAAGACGTTTTAAGGTTTACCTCTATATATATATACTGTCTTGAAAAGCAACAATGCTGAATGCTGTGGGAAACAATGACAGGATATCGGTAGAGATACAAATTTGATAAGCAATTGCTATAAAATAAACATGCTAAGTAACTTCCAAAAATAGAACCAGAGCTTTCGGACAACACTAGTCCTTCCTCAGTGGCGAGTGAGTGAAGGTAGAAAAAGCCAGATAGTATAAAGCAGTGGTTCCCAACCTAGGGTCTGCATGGGGTCCGCAAAAATGTTAGCGGTCCGGTAGATTGAACAACTTTTTAATTATTCTATTTTTTTTCTTGTCTTAGTATGATCATGCCTTGACAGTAATGAAATACCTTTGACAGGCATGACTTCGTTCACTGTAAATTGTTTTAATTGGCATTATAAATTAATTCCAATATTTTACTGGTGATCTGATAGAATATTTTAAATTAGTTTTGCTTGTATTCTCTTTGAGATGTTTAGTATGGATAGCCACTTGATAGTGGCAATACCAGGTAATGTACATCTTGTTTCCATATTTTCTTTTGTATTGCTTTTACCTGGATATTGAATATTAAAGAATCAGGAGGGTGCCCTGAAGTTGACAAAATCAAAAGTAAATGGGGAATAACAGAATATTGCATTCAAATTTTAAGTCTGACAGTGTAATTTCTGACCATATGCAAGTGCCATAAACATAAAAATTTCTTAAATCAGCCCAGCCAGAGTGAGGCTGATGTAGCGTAAATCCCCTATCTGTAAAATTTACTGTATATACCCCTGCCCACCTGTCTATGTCGAATTCCAAGATCCAGCATGTCGTGTTTGGCGACTAAATCATCTTATATCCATATAATCCTATTGGCGGAATATCAACCATGAGTCGCCCAAAAGTTCCATTTCCTTTCCACTAGGCGAATTCGCCCAAAATGCCCTTTTTTTTTTTGCCATTACACGCATGGGCAGTTCAATAATTAACTACGAAGTTCTTTACTGCGCATGTTTATGACTATGAGCAAAAATTCATGATTCGCACTATTGGGCATACAGCTGTTTGTGCCAGTGGATTGCGACATAAAAAAGAACTCTAGTATCTACACAGGAGAAAAATGTGCAGTGTGCACTAGAAACGTTATCACGTTCTTATTATTCTTAAATTTTGACTAAAAACTTGGTTAATGAGATAAAAAGCGCTTAGTGAGATCTGAGATTTTTTTAATATTCAAAAACTTCATGAAAATATGGAAACAGGGGGTAGATCGTTGGAATTATTAAATTTCATTGATTTTATTTCATTTCATTGTTTGCCTCAAACTCTGAGGGGAAAAAATTCTTTCGTACAGTACACAGCATACATACAGTACTGGGGAAATGTACCATAGACGAACCAACAGCCTGAATTAATGGGTTTTTAATGTTATGATTTTAAAAATACATCAAATAATGCCGACATTATTTTTTTAATTATTTTCATAATTCTGTGTAATCTTAGTGGTGGACCCAGAAATTTGAAATAGAGGAGGCCCAGAAAGTGACAAATGGAAGGTTCTATCCACTGGTTGGGGCTGACGTAAGAAAATATAATATGTGTAACAAGAAATTAAGTTACAGAAGAACAAATTATTATCTTAATTACAATATATTACGCTTATTTCGTCAAATCCGCTTATTTCGTCAAATCCCCAGCACCTGGCTCGGGGCCTTTGGCCCCTTCGTTACACCACTGATCCTTTGTAGTTCCACATTTACAATGTTCGTACCCCCTCCCCGGCCCCCAGATGGGAACCACCCTATGCCCCCGATGAACAGCTGAATTGAAATGTCTATTGGCGGATCACGCCTCGGGAAGGCTCCCCGATATTCAACTGACCAATCAACTAAGCCAAACTCTGTCGGCAATAGCGTGTAGCGATTTTATGGAAACTCAACATCAACTGAAACATCAATGGGTCATTGACGTCGAAGATGGCGATTGCACAAAAGTTTAAAAATATTTTTCCAATATGTAATTTGCCTAACTTTTGGCGATTGGTCAGAACATGCAGGATACAATCGCATACTTCTATTTCCTACAACTTAGTTTACAAAGGTCTTACTTCAACTGCCTACCTTTGGAGCCCGTTAAGGACTATCTATGTACTGTATGGATTTTGATTGAAGTTGTAGATCCTTTCTTTCTATCCCAGAATCAATACATATACCATAGCTCACTCCAATGCAAAACAACTCCACTTATATTTACATTTCTGTAAAGGCGACTTACAGAATGAAATCGAAGGTAAAAATGGAATAATTTAATCGCTTTAATAGTTAAAACATTCTCCAGATGTGTTAGCACCAAAACCATGCATTTTCAAGTAAGCATCATTCTGTAACTACATTACTTTGTG